CCCAGCAGCAAATAAGCATTGAGCACTTCATGCCCAAACAGCTCCACGGAGCTGGGGCCTGAAGTTGAGAGGCCCTCAGGGGAATGCGGGTGCCTGAGGCTGAGGAGCCCTCAGGGGATGGGTGGGGAGCCTCAGGGGATGGGTTAGCCACCATGGCCTGGAGGACCTGTGCATTTGCAGTTTTCACTCAGTGTGAGGCAGGTCAGGAGCCCATTGTCAGGAAATTTCCTCTCACTTAGAAAGTGAGGCAGAAGCTGTGAGCTTCCCCTCCCATATCCATTCTCTCTTCCTTCCTTAACAAGGGACAGAGATGTGTCCAGCTGAACGGCCACAATGCCAGCCTCTCCCACACAGAGAGAATTCCAGGAATTGTAAGCAGAGTCAGCAACAAATGGGACTTCTAAGGAAGTTCCTTAAAGGTGAGCATACTTGTCCCTGAGGCACAACCCTGAGCCTTCCTCCTCCTTGCCTTCTTGAGTGGGGATGCAACAGCTGACACTGCAGCAGCAGGTGTGCAACTTGAGGCACGTGCTGAAGTGGCAGGCAAAAAGACAAAGAACCCTGAATCTCTGATGACCCTGGAGCTGCCACTATGACTGCCCCACCCACTGCCCACTGCCCACTGCCCAACCCCCTGATGTGAGAAAACTAAAAACACTGCTCCATCTTGTTAAGCTCCTGTCACTGTGGGTCTGTTTCTAGTAGTGAGACACCATTCCTAAGCAACACAGACAGCTGCAAACACTTAGGTGCCCCCCACCACGTGGATCACAGTGAGTTTTCTGGGTGCTGACTGAGGACCCTTTGAGGCATGCCCAGCACCCTGATCTGTGGATAGATGAGGGGTGACTGTGCATGAGTGAGGCTGATCTCTTCGACTTCCTGCTCATATTTCATGAATGTGAGTCTCACCTCTGCGGCCAGACTGCAGGTCCCCAAGGATGATGACATGCCAGGCATCTTCCCTACCCTCGGAGTCAGGGCCCGTCCCACAACTCCGTGCATGCCGCAGGCCCTCACAGCAATTCTTGAGTCTGTTTGATTTTACTGTCAGCAAGATTGCTCCCAGATCTCTTCCTGTGCGATGGCCCCTATGGAAGCATTCAAAGACTGTAGCAGACACTTGTCACAGTGGTAAAAGGAATACAGACATAGCAACACTGCTGGCACGTGTGAGATGTCTTGTCTTCAAAGTCTTTTTACATGTAGTATCTCATCTTCTTTTCACAGTGCCCTTGGAGTCAGGACAGTTCTACAAATGGAAACTGGAGGCTCGGAACAGGTACAGGTGCTTCTTGAAGGCACATTAGTAGTAAATGCGGAGGGTGAGGACTGGATAGACTCCCAGGAAGGGCTCTTTTGGGAGTCATGCATCCAGAAAGATGTGTGAATATATACGTGTGTGTGAAACCTGTCGTGCTCACCCAGCTGCCATCATCGTCTCCCTGAAGCATTCACAGTTCCTCTTGTCACTCTGCTTCCTTATATGTCATCTTCTAGGCAGATCCCTCTCTGTCCTGTTCATTACGTCTTCCTCTCCAAAGCCAGGCAAGCATCGCCCCGTCTTCCCTTCACCTTCCCAGCTCTTTCCAAACTGGTGGTCTGATGTCCTCTCCTAGCTGTGTCCTGTTGCAGAGGGGAATGAGGATTTGGAACAGAATTCATATGCTCACTTCATTCTGTTCCGTGGTGGCATGGCTGACTGGGAGGTCCTTGAATAGCTCAGAGGGATAAGTGCAGTTGACTATAACAAGGCATCAAGGCTGTGTAGCCAGCCGTGTCCCCCAGGCCATGGGCCACCTCCTCCTGCAGCCTGCCATATGCCTGACACCAGCCACATCCAAAGGACAGTGTCCTAATGCTTTGGTCAGTAAGCATTATCACCCCCAATTTGTTCTGGGACTCAAGTATGTCCCTTGAACAAAGAAGGGTCATATGGGTGATGCCTGGCATCTCGAAGCTGTCACAAGCCTGAAATGTTCTGCCTAGCGACCCAGGAATGGGTATAGGGTTGGAGTCAGGGTCTGGAAGAAAAGCATGACATGACCTGCCCAATCCCAGCAAGCTCCAGGTAGGTTCTCCAGGGGCAATTACCAACCCACCAAGCATAGGGGAGTCCGAAACATGCAGAGAGGGAAAGCTGAGTCCCTCACAGGGAAGACAGAGCTACCTGTGTTTCCACACTGGGCTTAGTAGGAAACAAAAGAGGGCCATCCATGTCCATACAAAAGTGTTCCAGGGAGGGGCCGGGCGCGGTGGCTCACACCTGTAATCCCAGCACTTTGGGAGGCCGAGGCGGGTGGATCACAAGGTCAAGAGATTGAGACCATCCAGGTCAACATGGTGAAACCCCGTCTCTACTAAAAATACAAAAAATTAGCTGGGCATGGTGGCGCGTGCCTGTAACCCCAGCTACTCAGGAGGCTGAAGCAGGAGAATTGCCTGAGCCCAGGAGGTGGAGGTTGCAGTGAGCCAAGATCGCGCCATTGCACTCCAACCTGGGTAACAAGAGCGAAACTCCGTCTCAAAAAAAAAACGTGTCCCAGGGAGTAAGTGGAAGACATGAAGACAGAAATTATGACCGTGTTTGCTGGGTGTCCCAAGACCCATGAGGGACTCTGTGTGCCGACCACCAGTGTCAAACACCCAAGCAAGGGAAGGATGGTGCTGCTAAAGAGCCAAGCTGCAGAAGGGAAACTGCATGTGCACTATTCACTCATGAATAGTGGGTTTTTTTTTTTTTTTTTTTTTTTTTAAAGCAGATATGGTGAACCAGATGTAGAACAATCCAAGTCAGGTTCTCATCATATGTGGGAAAAAGTTCATTCCCAGAGCAAAGCATAGTTTAATAATTTCCCCATCCAGAAGACTACTTGGATATGGAGGTGGGAACCCACCCACTGAGCCCCCATCTTAGGGGGAACCCTGTGCCCCAGCCCACTAGTCTAAGTGCAGTCCCTCACCAACTAGGCTGAAATTTCCTCTCAAGTCCTAGTGGCATCAAAGGCAGCCAATATTGCTCAGAGAACAGAGGTCTTGTCTTGGAAGTCTGGATATCAGTGCTGGTTCTGCCTTTGTTGCCATGTGATTTCAGACCAACTAAATTCCAGCTAGCTAATATTCAGCTTCCTTATGAACAAGTGCCTTAATATGAAACTTGCCCTGCTCTATCTTATAAATTGTCCACACTTTGAGGAAGGGTCCAGGCCCTGTTCCTGTTTTTATACCCAGTCGCATTGTACAGGAGGTACTGGGCCTGTTCCTGTTTTTATACCCAGCCCCATTGTACAGGAGGCACTAGGAGGTGCTTGTGGAGCAGAAACTGCATTTGTTTCCAGAGTTGCTGGAAGGCACAACCCTGGAATCCATGAGAGCTGTTTTGAAAACGATGGCATCCCACCAAGACTTACATCCCTATCCCTTCTTGTTGCCAGCCTTTGGAGCTGGGGGACATGCATCACTTCATTTTTTGTCTCTGGCCTGCTGCCCTTCTCTGCTCCCCATCTCCCACCTTATCATGCACAGATTCCTTCTCCTAATGCAGCATTTTTGCTCATGTCACTCACAGCTCTTAAGCCTTTAATGGTTCCCCAATGCCAACTGAATAAAAGCCAGAGTCCAAAGCCTCAAAGCCCTTCTCAATTCGGTGGAGATCCACTTCCCTCTGCCCCACACAGAACTCAAATGCACCGTCAAGAAAATGAAACAGTCACGATTAATAGTAATAAGGGATTACTAATAGAAATATGAGTCTTTTAAATGTTTCTAAGTTTACTGTTATTTTATTAAATACCCTAATTAAAGCAAATGCTAACTGTCCAGGTTTTCAGCCATTTTCCTTTTCAAATGAGTAATCAAGAGTCACTTGCAGATGGACAGGTTCTTCCTGGCTGTCCTGCATTTTAAATATTTCTGCTAGTCACTGTGCAGGCAGAACTGACTGCACTTAATTTATAAAGGAGGATTTATGGACTTACAGATGACAACAGACAGCCAATCAATAAGGGATGATAATAACAGCATGTAATATCAAGGAACATTAGGTCTCAGGCATGATTTGGGGAGAGAAGTGGGCAGTTAGAAACCTTATCATTTGAAAAAGGTCAAGGTCTGGTAGCAATAAAAATGCCTAAGCAAATAAAATCACACCTGTGAATCAGGCAAGGGCATAAATCGCAGAGCGAAAAAAGATTTTAGACTTTGTAGAAAAATTGCTTCCCTGGCAAGGATTTGGGCTGCTGTAGGACAAATGAGGCTGCGTTGGGAGAGGGTCTATTTATTCCTGCTAAGAACAGTAACAGTGAGATGCAGATGCAGAGGGGTTTCCAACCCTCCCGCCTCCTGGGGGTGACACCTGCATCCTTCAAAAACAGTGGAGGAACTAGATGTGGTAGAGAGCCTGCAATGCCATGCCCAGGTCTCACCACGTATATTTAAGAACTACTGGCTCTGTGACATTTATGTCTGGTCAATTCTTTCCAGGGGTGGGCAGTTTTTATTGATTTAGTAGATTATCTGCTTGTGTAACTGAAAAAGGCAACCAAAGAAAAGTACCAAGTTGCAAATTCTATGACCAATAATTATGTTATATCTTTAAAAATACTGTGAAGAATAATCATGCTCTTTGAAAAACACTCACAGTATCACACAGAACTCCACAGCCAGCTTTCCTGCAAAAACCTACAATCATTCCATTTAGAAAAATCCAGCTTCACAGACTTTTCAAGAATAGATGAACCCGCTAACGGGTGTGTACCGAAACATCCTTTCCTTAGTCACTGAAAAAAGCAGCTGGAATATTATTTGTCTCCCATCTACGGTACTGCTTTAGTTGACGAATAGCTGGAGAGATCCCATTAAATATGTGATGAATTTTCTTCTAAATGCTCCCTGGGGGACTGAATTCTCTGTTTTTCTTTCTAACACACTCCAGTCCAACTTTGCAAATCCCACTGCCCGGCAAAGATTCTGCCAGCTCATGGTTTTAGAGACAAGCTTACCTCCTTGCAAGGTGTACTCGGTGACTGCCCTGCTAAAGACGCCGAGGCCGGCTCCATTGTATGCTGCCACCTGTATCTCATACTGTGTCCAGATGATCAGGTCCATCACCAGGCAGTAGTTCACCTCTGGGCTGGTGATGTTCCGCTGCTGGTACTCTCCGGGAAGGCCGGCCAGGCGGTACCTGCCACGAAGGAAGCCCGTCATGGCAAAGAAATAACTGGACCCGGAAACTGCGTTTACCTGCAGCTATTCTGCAGGGTTAGGGGGAAATGAAAGTAAATAAACAAGAGCAGAGCTGAGAGGTCAGCCTTAAACAATACCATTTCCTAACTTGACGATTTTTAAAAGTGTGCTCTAATCTCACAGTGATTATAAGCTCAAGGCAAAATGGAACTGACATTTCAACTGCATTATGGTTAAGAAAAAATTATAACTTTTTACGTGTAACTCGCCTGGAGAATTTTAGTACCAAAAATTCCAGACATGATTTCCGTCAGGGAGCTGCTGTAAATCAGTTTGGGAAACATTTTCCTCTTATGAGTCTGAAATGTGGGGAGACGTCCAGAAGGAGGCAGCACACAGCCTCGTGGTCTCCAGGGATGGAGCTCCATTTATGAACTGCAGGTGTGTCCAAGTGTATCCCAGAATTGGAATGAGTGGCTTTGAAAAGGTGTTGAAACTTCCAAAATACTAGTCCAATGCTAAGGATGACAAATTGCTTTGTAGAAGACTCCTGTGGTTGCTTGTGTAGTACATTCTTAGGTGGAAATTTGAAGTTGTGTTTATGAAAAAGATAATGTACACAACTCAGGACTTAGAATATACAAATTAGGAAATTGCTGTGTGTACTGTGAGAAGATTTTCACAGTATTCTTTTGATGAGCAAATGTTTCTCCATGATTCGGTCTATAGACGTTAATGCACTGAGGCTGGATGTGGTGATGGCTCATGCCTGTAATCCCAGCACTTTAGAAGGCAGAGATGGATGGAACATGCAGTCAGGAGATCAAGATCATCTTGGCTAACACGGTGAAACCTCATCTCTACTAAAAATACAAAAAATTAGCCAGACATGGTGGCACACGCCTATAGTCCTAGCTACTCAGGAGACTGAGGCAGGAGAATCGCTTGAACCAGGAGGTGGAGGTTGAAGTGATGGCGCCATTTCACTCCAGCCTGGGCAACAGAGCGAGATTCCATTTCAAAAGAAGAAAAAGAAGGAGAAGTAATAGTAATAGTAATAGTAATAGTAATAGTAATAGTAATAGTAATAGTAATAGTAGTTGTTCATGCACTGAACCGACTCAGGTAATTTACTGAACTTTTATGGATCAGCCCTGCTGGGTAAAGCCAGGAGCATGCCCCAGTAGGAGTGACTGCCCCATCACCCTGCACCTTCCAAAAGCCTCTAATTTCTACCCTGAAAGTGGCTCCTGCCTCACAGTCCCACACTTGAGTGGCAGCAAATCTGTTGGCTTTTCATGGTGTGTGAAAATCTTCAGGCTCCTCCAGGACATGGAGCTCTGAGCTCTGAGGCTCTGTGGATTCCATGTCCATTATCTAGGCGGTCCAGGACTGCAGAGCACCTGAGCACGAAGGCGAAGGATCTGAGACAGACACGCAGGGACAGGAAGGCTGCTGATGTCAGAGCAAAAAAGAAACCCAGAAATTCAGGTCTTAAAATGTAAAACAACTTTCCCAAGAGAAGGATAGATTGAAAATGAAGTGAGGAAATAGAGAAACGGTCATACAAGGTTCTTCATAAAAATCAGGAGTTCCCGAGAGCATTCTCTTGTCCCCTCTTTCTGCAGACCATTTGCAGTTGGTGGGGCCTGTTTGACAGGAAACAAATGATCAAAACCAGATGGCCCTCGAAGAGCAGAATGTACCTGGTCTCCTTCGGTCTCTTGCCTGAAAGGAGCAAGTGGCCCCTGGGCTCACCTGGTGTGAGACTCAGGGAAGGGACAGTGTTATTCTGTGATGGGCAAAAATGAAAGCCAGGCTGGGCATGGTGGCTCACACCTGTAATCCCAGCACTTTGGGAGGCCAAGGCGGGCAGACCACGAGCTCAGGAGTTTTAGACCAGTCTGGCCAACATGGTGAAACCCTGTCTCTACTAAAAATAAAAAAAGTTAGCCTCGTGTGGTGGTGCACCCCTATAATCCCAGCTACTCTGGACCTGAGGCAGGAGAATCACTTGAATACAGGAGGCAGAGGTTGTGGTGACCAGAGATCAAGCCACTTCACTGCAGCCTGGGTGACAGAGCAAGACTGTCTCAAAAAAAAAAAAAGTGAAAGTCAAGTTATCAAACCACATTGTTGCTTCATAGTGTGTCTACCTTTGACTCCTTTACTGAATGACCCGCTCCAAGCAAGTACATGTACAATTCCCAGGGGGTGTTCAGATCATTTATGTAGCATGATGGTCCTCAAGGCAGTGGCCCTCAGAGAGAGAGCCTTGGCATGGATGCATCTGTGTGATGGACATTTCCACTTACATTCATCATCTACAAAAGATAAACTCTTAAAATAAATGGCACTGAGACAGTTAGACAGCCATTTGGGAAAAGGTAGAAACTGGCTCCGTGCCTACACCATGCACCTGAGTAGCCCGGGCATACTGGCACCAAGCACCATCCGTAATCAATACCACAGAATGAGCATGGCCCTTAAGAAGGATTCCTCCTGTGGACCCAATGCTACACAACGCACATTCCAGGGAAGAACAGAGGAGCCAGCATCAGAAGACTTTGCTCAACAGCCACTGAGTTGCTGGGTGGTCTTGGGAAAATTCCAAACTTCTCCGAGCCTTGGTTGCCACCTCTTTAAGGTGGGAATGATAATAGCATTTCCATGCTTGTTGCAACAGTCAAAGGAGACAATGAATGTAAAAGGTGTGAAGGTGTAAAGCACTCCCTAAATATTTTTTTTTTTTAAATACAACTCTTCTATTGAGAAGCATGGAAAAGATAGCTCTGAGTTATAAGGAACTATGGCTGCATAAGCCACCCGTCTTCTCTGGGGCCCGCTCTTCATACCACTGTGAAAAACAAACTGCAGAACTTGCATCTTCAAAAGAGCCTGTGCTCCCCTCCTGGACAGGCATGCTCCCCATTCTGACCAGTGGCTCCGGGTGCTTTTGTAATAGTCACAGGATGTCTAAGAAGGTCACAATTAATAACGGAAGTGCAGGGCAGCCTCCTCTTACTGGTAGGATATGTTGCCCAGGAGACCATCTCAGCCAGAACAAGACTATTTTTTATACAGAAATAAACAGGAGAATGTTTTTAAAGGACATAACCCCTATGCTCCTCTCAAAGAAACACCCCGCCTATTATTATAAATATTTTATTACTGCACACGCATCCTAACTACTTCTTATGGCTGGAGCCACAAAAGTGATTTATTTCTCTTTGCTTTCCTTGCATTGTGCCTCAGATCTGACACAGAGACTGTGCCCTGGAGGATATACACTCGCAGAGAGCTGATGTGCAGACCAGAGGATCATGTGGAAATGTTTCCAAGCAAATTCATTTTGGCATGGCTCTTTAACTTCTGAAAGCTTTGATATTCACAGGCCTAGGGTAGTATACCCTCATTTTGGGGCTTTCAGGATTTAAGCCCCTGCAAATGCAGATGCCCTCATCTCCAGCACCCAATTCTACTGACCGCATCACAGAAGATCCTTTTAACACTAGTAATCCCCCAAAACAGAGAAATGTGCAGTCCGCGACGCAGTCTTGTAACATCAGAGAGATTTTATTATTAAACTCTGTGCCCCAAGCCTGCTTCTGTGGGATGACTTTTAAAGTCTTTACTTGGCAGCTTCAGCCTAAGGAAACTTTTCCTGCCTGGGCTGAAGAGAGGCAACAGACAGGCCTGTGTGGCTGAGTAGAGGGCGGCTAATTATTCTCATTAGTCGAGGGGTGCAGAATGAAGGTAACGGGTAAAGCAGGGCCAGAGCAGCAGTGCCACAGGAGCCCTTGGCCACAGGCAGCGGGGAGCATGAAGCTGTTTTCCAGAGTGGAGAAGGTCAAGCAATTAGGAACTGTCCCAGGGGATCAACAGGAACCAGAGCCTGTGGCCCCCACCCTGGGGGGACACAAATGCAAGCTCCTCTTGCCCTTCTTTGAAATGAGGAAGGACAGCTGGAGCCTCAAGACAAAAGGGGACTTGCTATTGATTGGAGCTCTCTGTGTACCCCAGGGCATGGCCCATTTAAATCACTTCAGGTGGGTCACGGTCTGGCTTACATTTAGAAAAGAATCCCTGCACTAAAGGAAAAACTTGAAAACCATGGCAAATTGGTTTTGACAGGCAGATATTCCAGGCATATAGAAAAACACATATTAAATGATGAAAGGATGACTATACAAATATATATAGGGAAGGCATTGCCCTTCATATGCAAGGATAATGGAGTTGAAGATGCAACATTTCACAATTTCTTACATTTATCTAAGAAATTAAATTTGTCTACTTAAGACCTTTTTTAGCCACTATTTACTGATCACACACTTAGAACAAGCCCAGGATGGGAATAATGGATACCCACAGTGCTTGTCCCAGTAACACTGGTAAAATTAACAAATACGTCCACAATGCTGCAGTCTATTAGAAGAGATTTAACAATCATCATGGAATTCTGCTTTACTTTTTCTTTACTTGTATCAACAGGCCATTGTAATTATCACACTCAGTGCAGTTTTTAAATTAGCAGTAGTTTGGGGAAAGAGTTCTTCTCTCAAACAGACAAGTTCTGATACAATGTCCCCAGTACTCCTAGAAGCCCAACTATCCTTTATAAAGCTAAGATAGCACACTGGCCACCCTTCAGCCACACTCGGCCTGCAAAAGTGTGCATTAGCCCTGCCCTTTGTTTCCAGATATATTGATTTTATTTCCAACATCTACAAGTTGTGAGGTTTCAGGTAGAAAGCTAGATTTGTGGATTTCTGGAAATACTAGAAGAACTGGCAATAGTGAGCAACATATCAGCATGGTGACAACTGGCTAACAGTTACATCAAATTAATTACTCTTAATTTAAAATTACTGTACTGAACAACACATGCCCCTGGTTCAAAACTTAAACAGAATCAAAAGACTTACAATGAGGCTGGGCGTGGTGGCTCACACCTGTAATCTCAGCACTTTGGGGGGCTGAGGCAGATGGATCACCTGAGGTTAGAAGTTTTACACCAGCCTGGCCAACATGGTAAAACTCTGTCTCTACTAAAAATACAAAAATTAGCCAAGTGTGGTGGCACATGCCTGTAATCCCAGCTACTCCAGAGGCTGAAGCAGGAGAATCACTTGAACCCAGGAGGCAGAGGTTACAATGAGCCGAGGTTGTGCCACTGCACTCCAGCCTGGGTGGCAAGAGTGAAACTCTATCTCAAAAAAAGTAAAAAATAAAAAGCCTCACAATGAATAATATACTGGCTTCCAACCCATAATACCCAGACCCCGGTTTTGTGTGTGTCCTTCATGGTTAGATATGCACAGAATGTCTGTGCAAGGCTGCCCACATTGGCCTGTGTACTCCAGTTTGCCACAGTCTCTACCGCTCCCTAAAGTCTCACACCTGGACTGATTCTTTGGTTCCTGTTTGGCTTTTATAGACATTAGAGTTTGCAACTTCAGTGAAATCAATGCTTGGCTCTAATGGTGGCCTAAAGATGGCCAGTCACTGGCTACTTGCCTGAGGATATATCCACGCAGCACCCCATTGTGCTCTGTTTCTGGGGGTGGCTGCCACTGGACCATAATGGACTGGTTGGTGCGCCCACTAGCTACTATATTTTTGGGGGGAGCACTGGGTGGTTCTTCAGGTAGCATCAACCTAAAAATAAAAGACAGGAAAAAGAGAGATGAGTACCAGAAATAGAGCGGGCCCATTTGCATTTCATCTATCTTGCTGAATCTTGAGCCTGACTATTCATGAGAATCAGGTTTCGAGAAAAGCAAAACACACCACTGATGAAACTGAAAGGACATGAGAAACAGTTACAACAAATCAACATAATAGAAAATCAATTATCCAAGCAATGGGGAAGGCACCGAGGCGACTTTGTTCCAAGTGAATAACCCCAGCGCCTGAGCTCTTTAGAAAGAATGCAAGCCTGAATGTGTACGCTCGCTCCGTGGGCCTGCCATCTCAGACTCCTCCCAAATTGTTTCCTTCGGCTCTTTCAATATTTCTCATCTCAAACTCCCACATTTTGAAAAAAAGGCATTTAGAGCTCAGCTGTTCTACAAGTCAAGCCCACTGAAAGCTCAGGTTGGTTGGGGAGGGCGTGCTGACATGTGATGAAGCCATTTTCCCATATCACCTCTGAATGAGCTTTTTCAGAGGCAGCCCTCGTAGGGATGGCAGAGCAAGACCACTCAGGAACACGACACCTCTGCAGAGACAGCGGAGTCTTTCCCTTACAGCACCCCACTAGATGTTCACTTGTCAAGACTGTGGCACCAGCTTCCCCCCGGCAGTGGGGTGGCAAAGGACACGGAAAATGTGTAAGCTCTTAATTTCCTGTATAGAGAGGGCTGTGCTGTGACGTGTGATTTATGTAGGCACAGCCAGATCGCCACAGGAAAAATCTGAGAAACCTGCCTCACAGCAATGAAGGAAGGCCCAGCTAAGCTTACATGGGACTGTGTTTCCCTCTTTGTGACAGGCTTTTGGGCTCACGTTTTGGCCAGTCTCCTTGAGGGAGGCTGTCGGGTTGCTGTGATCAATTCCTCCACCTAATGTGATGCTGCTGTTTGGCGTTCAGGCCCAGCTGTTCCATGCCCCCACCTAGGGTGGGATTCACACACCTGCTTGTCTCAGCACTGTACTGGCCCCTGCCCACTTCATTCACTGCGCATACGCGGAACTGATAGGTGCGAGCTGGAGTCAGGCCACTCACGGTGACGCCTGTCATCTCAGGGTCAACGTTTGACAGATGCACTTTCCACGGAGAGTCTGAAAGAGTGAAGGAAATGAATTCAAGCCCACAGAAGTGCATGTCTGAATAATAAGAGGTGAGTGCAAATGCCTTCTCAGGAAACATCTCATTTACTTAGCAGGCCGGCTCTAGGAGAAAGAATGTTTATCTCATTTAGCAGATGTGGAAACTGAGGCTCTGGCCCTGTGGCTAGTAACTAGCAAGCCAGAAAGGAAACTTACCCCCATGCTGCTATCAACGAGCAAAGGGATTTTTTGTGTGTGCAACCTGCATATGGCAGTTTAAAAGGAACCAGAATGTCCCTAATTCCTGTGTTCAGTATGTAAGGGGAGAAAGTTCTCTGTCGGCTCACATGGTTGGGCAGATTGCAGATTTGTCTCCCAGAAAAGGATGCTGCACATGTCACTGAATGATAAATAAAAACTATATTCATTAACATTTTAATAAAAGAGGAAATGAGCATGATAAAGACAGATGGGCTGTGTATTTCGCAGCCCATCTGCGTGGCAGGCCCATTATGCCACCACACCCCTGAGTGGCTTTGGCTGGAGAGAGACGTAATGAAATTCACAGTGAGTTTAGAGTATCTTCCCACCCAGCTTTCCAGCAGGTGTGGAAGAGCAACTCTGCCAGCCAAATGCGCTTTCTCCGGCAAGGCTTCCGAGGGTTCTGCTGGAGATCCTACACCCTTGTGTGGCTTTTTGCAGAGTTTAAACATGCATTTCAGCTCAGTCAACTTGTAGAGTGATGCCCTGGAATGAACAAGGTCTGGCAGTGACTTCCAGCATCCGCCATCGGTTCTCATCCTGAATTTGAAGTATGCCTGAACTGAATTTTCAGGTTATTAGTGAAGTAAAACCTGGGTGGGGGAAATTCTCCTGGAAATTGAGCTGTCTTGCTGACCTGAAGTGGTGCTAAGTCCCTTTTGCCCACATTACAGATGATCAGGAAGAGGTGGCACATGCTTTCTGCCATGGTGCTGGGCTGGGCAGAGCCTGCAGACAGCACCAGCTGCATGTCAACATCCACACATAAAATCCCAGCCGCTTCTCCAAAAACCTACAGCCTGAACCACGGGAATTCGCAAGTCTGTGCTATGAGTTCATCAGAAATGCACTCTGGCTCCTTACAGATCACTAAGCAGTGGCCATAAATTGCTCTGAAATGAAAATGAGAGTCTCAAAGGCAACTTTTGTTGCCTCACACAGAGATGTCTATCACTAATTGAGAATCTGCTCACTGGATTCCTTAACACAAAGTTAAGCTGCTCTGAAGCATGACGCCAGTTGGCTATGAAGATGGAATCTTTCTAATTATTTCAAATAAAGCTGTTTCCAAAAACGGCTTTCTGGGAATGCAGTCTTTGCCACCAGCTGGGCATTTCAGTGTTCTTGGCTTCTGATTTCCAGTGACATGGATAATGGGCAGCTGAATAGGATCCCCTCTCTATGTGTCTCCTTTAAAGACAAAATGTGTGCATTCCCAGTTACCTACTGAAGAACTCACAGCAACTTGTCTTGTCGCTCTGGGAACCTGAAACCCTTCTACTTGCATCACTCAGCTCAGGGTGATCTGGTTTGCTAAGCAGTTTCCCTTAGAGAATACAGCCATTTGTCAATGTGGAAGACGAAAGGCCCTTCCCCGCATCAGGGCAAGTGGACTCGGTTGGTTGGAAGCAGGGCCCTTCGTGCCAAGTCCAGCTTCCATGAAAATATTGTTCTCATTCTGAAGATAACTGGGATGTAGAATAAAGAAGCACAGAGTTCACCGCTGACTATAAGCTCTCCCACTTACGGGTGTTCAATTTTGTTTGAACTTCTGTAAAAACAGTGGACAATTCAGAACCACAATGATACTGCATCTAATACCCACTAGGGTGGGTACTATTTAAAAAAAAAAAACTCAAACAGAAAATAACAGGTGTTGGGGAGGATGTGGAGAAATTCCACCCCATTGCACTGTTGTTTCAAATGTAAAATGGTGTAGCTGTTATAGAAAACAGTATGAGGGTTCCTCCAAAAATTAAGACAGAATTACCATATGATCCAGCAATTCTGCTTCTGAGTATACACCCAAAGGAATGAAAAGGAGGGGTTCGAAGAGCTATTTGCACACCTGTGTTCATAGCAGCTTTATTCACAGTAGCCAACAGGTAGAAGCAACCCAACTGCCCGCTGTCAATGGTTGAATGGGTAAACGAAATGTGGTCTGCCCATACAATTGCTACTACTCAGCTTTTTAAAGGAAGGACATTCGGACACATGCCACAACATGGATGAATGTTGAGGACATTATACTAAGTGAAATAAGTAACAAAAAGGCGCATACTGTATGATTCCACTTATATGAGACATCTAGAATAGTCAAATTCACAGAGGCAGAAAGTAGGAGGAGCTGGGGAAGGAGAAATGGAGAGTTATTTTTGGTGGTGCAGAAGTTTTGCCACATGAAAGAGTTCTAGAGAAGGATGGTGGTGATGATTTTACCACAATGTGAATATGTTTAATGCCACTGAACTGTGCACTTATAAATGGTGAATGGGGTGAATTTTCTTATGTGTGTTTTACTACAATTAAAAATTAAAACAAATGATGAAAAGATGGGGGGATAACATATAACCCCCAAGACTCCCTGAGTATGAAATAACATACGTTGAAAGCATCTAGCTGTAAGCTTGGCCCAGGGTGCTGGATAACTCCCTCTCCCTAGATCCAAACTCCACCCTCCCTATCCAGCTCTGCCCTGGAGGCTCCTGTCCTGAGGCTTCCCATAGATAAAGGGAGCAAATTTAAGGCTCTTCCTTCCTCACTGGGAGGCTGCCTGGGGCTACCTGGGTCCTTCCTCCAAAGGGCACTCCTCTTTTCCAAGTGGGCACTCTATGCAAACTCTCCTTCTGGGGTTCTGCATCTGCCTTGGGCTCTTTAACCTAAGGGTGAAACCAGCTCTGAGGCTCAAAGCCCCAGGTTCACAGTGGTTCCCCTCCACCCACACCTCTAAAAACATCCCCCTTCTAAAACTTCCTCTTCCATTGCTCTAATTCAGGAGTGCCATCTTTTCCCTGCAGGAACCTTGACTAATACTGGACTCGGTAAAGCTCTTCTTCTATCCCTTTCTTCCTTCAGATGTCACAGTGTCTAGTAGTGAACCCTTCACCTGCTCGGTCAGGCATAGTGAACAAACGTAGTTTCAGACAGAGACAGTCAGGACAACGGTCGTAACCAGGTGACTGAGGCGATTAATAAGACCGCAGGAGAGGATATCGCCTTCCTGCCCTCAGCCCCATCCCACCAGCCTGGCCCTGCCTGATCCTGGCTGTCTTTTCATTCAGAGTGTAAACAGCTCCTGAAAGTCCATAACCCCAGCCTTGGTTATGTCCAGAGTCTGCTGCCTGGTTTGATTTGACAACAGGGCCTATTAATCTCCTCTACACCTCCCAGCTCTGCTCAGTCCTGCTGCAACTATAAGAGTCTTTATTTCTTCTTTTTTCTCTTCCACTAGAAGATAAAAGGTCTGGCAGGAAGAGAAATTAAACTGAAAACGAATACAAATGAATCCAATCCATCTCTGGGCACCCTGAGTTGTACCCTCCCCAAAAAAATTGGTTTGGGAAAGATTTGTTCATTCACAAGCTCTGGAAGTACAAGCTTGCTGAGAACTGTTAAAATTTAAATAGCAAGTCTGTTCCTGACAATCAATAAGCAACATCCCTTTAAAAGGGTCCTCCCCCAGCTGGTCCTCACAGAGGAAGGCCACAGTGTGCTTGTCTTAAAGGCTCAGGGGTAGAAGACTCTTTTGATAAAGGAAACCATCCCATAAACGTTTAATACCTGTTTTCTTCCCCTTCAGGGACTCTCTGACCTAGAAGACTGAGGGATTGTACACTTCCCCAGCCAGGCTCCGTTCTACAGAGGGCATCACTACACTTTTGTTTTCTTAGGAGTAAGGCCCAGAATCTTGAGGAATTAATCATTACCCCACTTAAGCTGTTGGTTAAAAAGCAGGTGGTTTCCAGTTTTTGAAAATGTTTTGGAAGTTTTTTCCAATAAAAAAGAGCATTACCATTTTCTCAACTAAAGGTATCTGAAGAAGGAAAATGTTTTCTAAAAGATTTTTCTTTCTTTTTTTTTGGCGGGGTGGGGGGAAGGACAGGGTCCCATTTTGTTGCCCAGGCTGGAGTGTGGTGGTGTGATCTCTGCTTACTGCACAACCTCCACCTCATGGGTTGAAGTGATTCTCCTGCCTCAGTCGTGTCCCATTCCACCCCTCCCCTCACAACCAGTATTCCACCTCCCAGTCTGGGGCCACAGATGTGTACCACAATGCCCAGCTAATTTTTGTATTTTTTGTAGAGACGGGATTTCACCATGTGGCTCAGGCTTGTCTTGAACACCTGGACTCAAGCAATCTGTCTGCGCTGGCCTCCCAAAGTGTTGAGATTACAGGAGTGAACCACCATGCCCAGCCAGAAGATTTTCCTTAATTGCCAAAAGCATCATTATATGATTAATACATAGCATTTCAATGGCAGTTTGCAGCCTGGAAGTGCTTTCAGGTCTGAAGCCACAGAAACCCACTTGGGGAGGATTTTCGCTCCAGGAAATCAAGACTCAGGGAAGTTTAAATAACTTCTGACCTTCACAGGTGGTGGCTACCTAGAGTGGCTTTATTTCAATATCACCAGAAGTGGGGCGGCTGGTCTCATGTGCTTCCTTGGGTTCCACAGCAGGAAGTACCCGCAATATCCAAGAAGTATTCACACACACACACTGTCACATAAGAAACGAAACCAATCAGAAATGCAGGGCAGCTCAAATCCAGTCTCCAAGCAATAAAAAAGGTGCAGGAACCAGTTAAATACCAAAAATCCTCATCTGGGACCTGAGAGCTTCTATAGGACAACTGTCATGGTTTCTGCCCAGTCAGGAAGTGAGGAGGGAGGTGGAAGTTTTTTGGATTAAGAGACACAAGACACAACCAATACAATGAATGGACTTCGTATGGATCCTGATTCAAGTGT